TGCTAATTAAAACACACTTTAGCTGTCATAAAAAAAAATTAAAAACGTGGATCATGTTAAATTAATTCTGACAAATTTAAGCATCAGAACTACTTCTACTGTTTCACGTGTGTTCATAAATGGTCAACAATACGTCAATACAATGTAATATATCCTTGAAGATATCTCCGACATAGGTTTTCTCCCTGCCAACTTCTGAAAACAAAAATAAAAATGGCAATCGGGAGCATCCTCCGCCTTGAGACCAACTACGGATGCGGAATGTTTGCTACAGAGAATCTAACAGAGTACTCTGAAATGAAATTTGCATGATACTGGACGGAGGCGGAATGTTTGCTACAGAGAATCTAACAGAGTACTCTGAAATGAAAGTAGCATGATACTGGACGGATGCGGAATGTTTGCTACAGAGAATCTAACAGAGTACACTGAAATGAAATTTGCATGATACTGGACGGAGGCGGAATGTTTGCTACAGAGAATCTAACAGAGTACTCTGAAATGAAAGTAGCATGATACTGGACGGATGCGGAATGTTTGCTACAGAGAATCTAACAGAGTACTCTGAAATGAAAGTAGCATGATATTTCAGAGTACTCTGAAATGAAAGTAGCATGATACTGGACGGATGCGGAATGTTTGCTACAGAGAATCTAACAGAGTACTCTGAAATGAAAGTAGCATGATACTGGACGGATGCGGAATGTTTGCTACAGAGAATCTAACAGAGTACTCTGAAATGAAAGTAGCATGATACTGGACGGATGCGGAATGTTTGCTACAGAGAATCTAACAGAGTACTCTGAAATGAAAGTAGCATGATACTGGACGGATGCGGAATGTTTGCTACAGAGAATCTAACAGAGTACTCTGAAATGAAAGTAGCATGATACTGGACGGATGCGGAATGTTTGCTACAGAGAATCTAACAGAGTGCACTGAAGTGAAAGTTGCATGATACTGGACGGATGCGGAATGTTTGCTACAGAGAATCTAACAGAGTACACTGAAATGAAAGTAGCATGATACTGGACGGATGCGGAATGTTTGCTACAGAGAATCTAACAGTACTCTGAAATGAAAGTAGCATGATACTGGACGGAGGCGGAATGTTTGCTACAGAGAATCTAACAGAGTACTCTGAAATGAAAGTAGCATGATACTGGATATTCAAAGAATACATGGAAAATTATACTCATAGATTTCTTTCAAAATAATTTATCTCATTCGTTTTGCGAAAGATGTTTTCATAAATTTGATGCGTTATCATTATTATCATTATAAAATATTTCAGTACCATTACTATGCAATAGATAAAATGTATATTGTAGGGTGTATTAATTATATGTACATTACCCATGGGGGGGGGCGAGTGGTCGAGTGGTCTACAGCGCTCACCGTTCGGATTACTGTCATCTCATCTCTGTCTGCGTGGTTCGAGTCTCAAGCTCTGCCAGTGCGGGCACGTGAGAAAGCTTGTCAGTATATTCCCCTGGATCGGTGACTCTTTAAGGGGTTTTACCGGGTTCTTCCTCCAATATTGATACTAGCCGCCGTGTGTAGCCTATCTTGTGCTGAAACATGGCGTTAAACGCTACAACAACAACCCATCTGAGTGACCTTTGCACACAACAAGAAAGAAATCCAATTTTCTAAAATTTATATTTCAAAATAGTCATGAATTCTCCATCATAATCATTCATTTTTATTTCTGACATTGGAAATTCTGAAATTTTCTTTCCTGATTTTCTTGTGTTCTATATACATCGGGAAGATACACTCAAATTAATTATTATTCACCATAATGTATTCCACGATTCGTGTTGTGTATATTTGTATTCTTTCTCTAAAAAAATATATTAACCATATTTGCAGCTATTTTTGGTATAGTCTCTTCTTAACCTTCATCACCTCTGCTTTGTGACTAAAGTTCAGTGAAACATAAAAAAAAATTTTTTATTGCAGACAAAACTGATTTTTCGAAGACAATAATTAGGTGCACTAAACCTTTGAAAGATCTGAAGACCAAAGTGTATAAAATAATAAGCAAATGGAAATGGTTTGTTTAAAATTATTACAATCAAAAGTCTTTTCACTTTCAACTGAAACAAAATGTTTGATTAAATATTAAGAAATTCCACGTGCTTTTCGTGGTATTACATCTATTGGTAAGTAAAATCGAGATGAGTATTATATGGACAAAGTACTTATGACTGATATGCTTATGTTACTGTGTGTGTGTATGTGTGTGTGTGTTTGTGTGTGTGTGTGTGTGTGTGTGTCTTTATTCCTCAGTTTTATTTTGTGAACATTTTTTTTATGAGATAGCTAAACTTTTGTGGTAGAATTCAAATCTTAATGTCTCCTCCAATATTGTGCGGAAACACATATTTCTATGCTAAAAACAACAAAATAAGTAAATTCAAACAAAGCATATAAAATCCTAAGCCGAAGAAAGCTTTCCAACTTGAACTATCTTTAAGTATACATACGACAAAAGCACGTCAAAATAATATTCATGTAGATCATAACTTGACAAAATATAAATATTTAAATAAAAAGGAAAGAAAGAATACTTGCCATTTCAAAACTTGTTTCATATAATCCAGTTTTTCTATCTCTATCATTTGTCTTTTCTTTCTATCATCAAAAATTGTATAACTTTCAGATAATTAGGGCAAGAGCTGTTAGACAAATCTTTTGCCAACCGCTACAGAGGTTTCTAAAGTCATATTTCTAGAATGTCTAATAGTTTAATGAAGATATCATTTTATATTTCCGTCCTCATGTCACTTATATCAAATACTGAGATTCACGTGTCGGTCAATTGTGCTGATCATGGCGAAACACGTGTACAAGCATAAAATGAGAAATCAGCTTCTTCAGGCTTTAGGTTAGCGCTTTATTATTTGCAGACATTTCTAAAGATCACAAATAATTTGACTTCTTTGGTTCAGTCAGTAGACTAGTATGGTGAAAACATAGTTAAATCGTATTAGATGCTTTAACGTACCAGAAAATCACTAGGTAGATAATGCTGTGACATACAGACTGGACTCATACTCAACAAAAAGTAATAACTATAAAAAATGTCGATTACACCTTAAATTTCAGCATCAGAACCCAACAATCGGAAAAGACATACCATCAAGCCCATCTCCTGACACACTAATTAGGAAACTCGGTGCGCCATGTAGCAATGAAGTTCACTGAACTTAAAGTGTATTAACTTTACGGATCAGTGACTGACCGATCTGGGTCCCTGACCATCAGATGCTATACGTTTTTAAATAGGAGACGTTTTTTCTTGATGGTCAACAGCGATTAATGGAAATTCACCAAGTTGTGTTTAGTTCAAAATCCTTGTAATGCTATGGGTGTTTCTCAATATTGGTTAAAGTGTGTACATTTGTATTATTATTTCGTGTATTGGATTTCGTGTGTTGAACTTAATGAACAGCCGGAATGAGAAATCTTTCTTATGTTATAAATTTATAAATATAAATGTAGGTAATATATAAAAAGGTAATATGTGATCGTTTTTTGTAATAATTCAAGTTGATATTAGTACAAAATAGATGGATTAGTGCGTTTATATAGTAATAAAGTAACTATATTTTAAGGTTTGAAGGATTAATTAAAATGTGTTTTCTATCCAAATTATTTAACAGTGAGAACAATGTATACATGTATATTATAATAATAATATACATATAAATTTACATAATCCTGCAAGCTAAAAAAACACGTACATTGAAACTGTCATAACTGAAATTAATTTAATTTTTTATCATATAAGTAAGGTCATACATTAGATATCGATTTTTTAACAATACTTCAAAATTATAACTAGCATGTATCTCACCTACCAAATGACCAAGGAATATTATCCGATATATATTTAATGGCTAAAGTATCTAACTATCTAGAAATGAGTGATCAATTTCGTGACTGATCAATTTCATATTCATAAATTAGTGTTAAAACTGAATATTTTGATCAAGATATGCCTGTAGTTTATAAATATTAGTAAAGAACGTTCCTAGTAGAACTGGCATGGATCCCACCATTAAACAACGATATGATGTACACGATTATTATTTAGAAAATGTACAAATATTTATTGTAACAGGGGAAAGAGTAGAATAGAATGGTCCTATATAATTTGATTTTGATTATGTTCTTTATATTGTCATGTAATAATAATAATAATAATAATAATAATAATAATAATAATAATAATAATAATAATAATAATAATAATAATAATAATAATAATAATAATAATAATAATAATCTTGATTAATGATTTCGGAGAGTGTTTAATATTTAATATCCTTTAGCTCTAGTATGAGGTTTTTCCGTATGGAGCCACCACAAAGTATTTTTTTCACTCAGAAACCTTTTCCATACGTCTGGTGATGATAGTGACATTTTGTTACACGAATTATCATTGTTGTTGCTTTTTTCGCAGATGGTTTTGTTGTTTTTTTTTTGTCCAGAGATAATTAATGGATTCTACATTTAGTCCATAATTTTCAGAAAAGCGTAAGGTTTGGGACATTATGAATTATAATGATATGGTTATTGTGATCTAAAACAATTTAAGGTTTTGACTTTACTACCTACAAGTAAATGCACTAAAGTTCTATGAACGTTAAAGGACCCTCTCTCTCTCTCTCTCTCTCTCTCTCTCTCTCTCTCTCTCTCTCTCTCTCTCTCTCTCTCTCTCTCTCTCTCTCTCTCTCTCTCTCTCTCTCTCTCTCTCTCTCTCTCATTTAGATTTTTAACGTAGCTTTAATATTTTTTGTTCAGTCATATCGCTACGATGTCTGCAGTGTGACTTTTTATTGTGATGTATAGCACTGGGACACCATGCCGCAGACATGTGGCATGATATCCCATCCAGTCACATTATCCTGACACCAGGCCGAACACTCCTAACACTAACCTCTTAATACTGAGCGTCAAGCGAGGCAGCTGTTAGTACAATTTTATAAAGTCTCTGGTATGACCATGCCGGGATTCAAACCCACGACCTCCCGCATACGAGGCGGACGCTCTAACCACTAAGCCACCGAAGCGACCTTTAAAGTGCTGCATACTTAAAAGTACTAATGAGTGAGATTAAATAAACCTTTTCAAATTCTTGTATTTCATTCAAATTATCCGATATCTGTGCTTCTTCTCTATTAAGTATGCCGTCAAAATTATTTGTTTTATTGTTGCATATGAACTTTGAAACCATTGTATGGAAGGAGTCGCTGACATACCCTTTTTGATAGGTACAGTTAGAAAGATATTCTTCAACAAGAGAATGTCTAACAGTTTTATTAAAAAATAGAGAATGTCTAACAGTTTTATTAAAAAATAGAGAATGTCTAACAGTTTTATTAAAAAATATCATATTATGTGTCAAATGTTGTGGTACGCATGCTCTAAAATTTTGACATTACGTTGTTTTACACAAAAAGTATTTACAGTGTCCCAAAGTATGAATTAGTTGGTATTATATACCTAATTTATATTCTGTTACATTTATATTCTGTTGCACAACTTATTATGTTACATTTGTATAACATTTATATTCTGTTACATACGTATTCAGTACTTCTAGAGTCAAAAGCGTTTGTTGTCGTAAATGACATAAATTTCGTTGAACATATTTGCTGAACTTGTCCATTGGAGCATATAAAACAACAAAATTGAGAACCACAACTTCTATGGACTTTAATTTGGAACTTAATTTTTTTTGCGAAACAATGATATCATTGCCAAAGCTCACAACCAATCAGGCTTTTTGGCTTAGTCAGCTGATCAGTATGAAGCAGGATTGTTAAAATCACCTTACATGATGAAAATGTAGCCGGAAATTAGTAATTTTTGCAATATGTCATACAGAAAGTTTTGTCGCATTAGGATGTTTTTTTTTACAGCATTCTGTTGAGTAACATGTAAATTTGCAGCATTTATAAACTATGTTTTCGTATATCAAATTTACTTGTTTCTTAGGTTTTGAATGGCGAATAAAACCATGCGAGATATCGTACCAGTGCAACTCAAATAAAGTACTATGCCCAAGCAAACACCACCGGCTTTGCCTGGTCTGGTCAGGTGGATGAAACTATACCGATCTGGTAGCACGTCCGGGACGATATCCTCCGAGAAACAGAGATGTCTTGTGTTGTTTATAAAGCAAATGTCATCGTTAGGTAGGCCATAAAGTTGACTTTGGACTAAGGTCAGTTACAGAACACAGAAATACTTAACACATACACTGAAAAAACGAAAACCAATGCACATTAAATAAGCATACCAATCTTTCCTTTCAAATCTTGCAAAATTATACATGTGAATCCAGTGGTATAGTAGTAATGCAATTAGAGTTATACGAAAGCTAAATTAATGGAGGAGCAAGGTGGCTAGTTCCCACTGTAACAAGATGGAAGAAATTTCAAAGAAAACGTCAGTTTTCTGATTTTTTTAAAATCATAAATGTCACTGTCTTCAACAAGCCTGTCACCGCGGTCTTCAAGCGTTGATACCATAACTTGTTTGTTTTTGGCGATTATAAGATGTAGCTTAACGAGTCTTCGTCAAATATAAATCGGCATTTTTTCTGTTGGTGAGACTAGTAATAAACAAGAACGCTACTTGATGGAAGAGTAATATGGTTAGCCCCCATGTTGTCGCTGTAGTTGCAACCGCACCCAAATCTCCACGAACGAAATAATTTTGTTTCTTATTCCAACATCGACAGCGCAATCACACCTAGCTGCTCACGGGTTGGCTTCGGATGATCTGGAAAGACTAGTGGTCCATATCCGTCTATTTTGTATCATCATTCCACCATAACTGAAACAGTATGTGCCAATCTCAAGAAGGCAAATATGCTCTCGCACCAGCGGTATGTATTCTTTGTCTATGCCGTGATCATTTTGTACAAGCTGTACCAATGCTCCAACATCTCGATCTCGCATTGGCAATGCGGAACAAGTGAATCGTGTTCTTTGCATAGATCTTGTAGCTTCCCTGTGGTTTCGTTGTGTTAAGCAGGTTCTAATTGTATAAGCAAATTATGATCCGTGTGGTTGTACATTCTGACCCTTGAGAATTGACATTTAGGTCTTCACACCAGACAGTTTCTCCAGGAGCAAGTATAGATCCAAAAGCTAGTTGAAAGATTTCGTCGGAGACGTTCGCCGAAACGACATATTTATTATTGTTTTCATTATGTGCCTTGAAAACTCTGTTTACACCGATTGAAAGCGTTACTCACGTCCCTTTACCACTATTACCATACAGGCCGATAAAGATGCATCCCAGTGGTACGTATTCATTGCTGTAATCCCGCTGACCGACAAGACAAAACGGGCCGTTAAGCATGTGACTACTATATTTGGTATCCACTGATTTCAGACATAGCGGCTGTTACCGAATAACCCCAAACGTGTTGACTACAGGAAGCCTACGTTTCCAAGTTGAGAATGCAGAACCAAAAGAGCATGGTCATACGTGTGGCCTGATTGCAACATCGGCTGGCGGATCTGTTGCACACTTAGTGAAATGCCTTAGTATGTTAGCATCTTGAGATCAGATGCGGTCAGATAATTTGATGATTAAATCTCAGTTTATCACCAGCGCATTGTTCACACTTATCGTCCATCTTGATGACCTTCAAGGAATCACTAGTGTCAATATAATTTTTTAAATACACTATGGACACGGATATCGCTAGCGGCCTCAAAGACTACAATGTAGTAAGTTACGACGTCGACTAATTTAGCGTGGATCGCAGAGTTATGTACATACCAGAGTATTTATGTCTCGACAAGGTACCGAGGCAAGCGTTAATGTTACAGTTTGAGAAGTGTGGTCGGACTGAATTACTTATATATTGGGAGATTTTACTATGTGTGGTACCAGCACTTATGATAGCAAATCATTCATAGATGTTTACCGAATTTGTTGTATAGTTGAAGGGTTCTGTCTTGGAGAACTCTATTCGGACAGCCGGTGCATTTTAAGCACAATTGACATGCACTTTCTTCCCTTACCTTTGCTCTCCTTGGCAGCCTTTGGCGCTGTGACTTGACGGTTGCCTTTGCTGGATATCATGATGAGAAATGACAAGCCTTTTTTAAGCTTGTAGATGCCATCAGCACGTGGAAGTTAACGAGACTCTAGCATATGGTGTATTTCTTTGTGGGCCATATGTTCCTCCTGTATTCGTGTCCTGCCTTTCGCGCTTGACATTTTTTGCAAACGGCACAGGTTTTGAAAGAATTTACAATGTCTTTAAAATTATTTCAATACATTTCAAAATATGAATCATTCCCAACCATCACATTGTCATAGCTAGCCAAATTCTTTACTTGGCTTGATCTGGTCAGGTCTATGATGGCGAAACTATGGGGTATTACGTTGCCACACTATAGACTCGACGACACTCGTTCCAGACCATGTTGACGGCACGCCATATGGTGTGCATGTTCCATTGGCAATGGACGTAAGTCATTCGGAGGAATACTACTCTGTTTGCTTCTCCGCGAATTATCTTCAATATATGCTTGCCAAATACGGTATGTACGCTCTTTGTGCAGCCCGCGGATAAAGAGGCACGCGGGGTTCTTTTGCTCGTTGAACATCACGTCGTCATTATAAATAAACATAACTGATTCTCAATGGTGAAAGTGTTTCGTCGCTGGGCTTCATTAAATATAGCCTCTATGGACATATTGACATGTTCGACAACAGCAGACTTGTTGATTTATCGCAGGATGCTGTAACAGTTTCTTCATCCGGACTGTGCGCAACATTGTTCCACATCACTAAGATTGACGGAAAGTTCATCAACCAGGATGTAAAAAGGTGGAAAGGTTCAGTGGTGTCGCTACTGGGACTGAAAATATTATTAGTACTATAGGTAGTTCCTTGCTTTTAAAGACTCGCATTTTCTCCGTTCTGCAAAAAGAGACTGGAGGAGTTTACTGGGTGAGGGTCGTCAATGGCAACACAACAAACTCGTGATACTGCTGGAACAGTACCCAAGCACATGCAAAGCGACGACATCACTGCCAAGCTTGAATGTCTGTCAGGGTTGTCCTGCGGCAAGTATCCCCTGAAGAAGCATCCACCTTGCCACAAATACCGCAGTCTGGTATAAGGTTTAATATTCAACTCGACATCGAAATATTTCGCTTGTCCCCAGTAAATCATGTTTCGACACGGCCTGACATACTCGTTCAATTGAGACATCTTCGTTCAAAACTTCTGGAATATTGTAGCAAATAGACAATAGATAGATAATGTCGTCGCATACCGTCTGAAGTCTTTCCCTATTGAAGAGTATATTTGCCTAAAATAAAATATGGATTAACCTGTTCTGATAAAATATCATAACTCTATGTGCTAGAATATACATGCCATTACTTACACAGGAAATGGCTCTTCTCTTACTTCCATCCTATCCACTCTTTAATTCCACTCCACTCTAAACCTGGTTCTCTATACTGACGAGACAATGCAGTTCATTGAACTGAAAGTGTATTAACACTACAGATGAGTGGCTGACCCAGCTGGTCCCTGACCGTGACCATCTGTGATTTTTACATTTTTGACCTTTTTCTTGATGGTAAATGACGATTAAGTTGCGCTTCTGTTTGCAAGAATCACATGTAATGAAATCATATGGGCTTTTTTTTAAAACACTGGGCCAATGTGTATTGGTGTAAGATACACAGATATATTGGTCCATGTATATATCATCATTGATGAACCATCCATGGAAAATGTGTAACGACGTAATAAACACATATATTGGTCCATGTGTATATAGTCATTGGTAAATCATCCATGGCCAATGTGTAAAGATGTAAGATTCACAGATATATTGGTCCATGTGTATATAATCATTGGTGAATCATCCATGGCCAATGTGTAAAGATATATTGATACAGATATATTGGTCCATGTGTATATCATCATTGATGAACCATCCATGAAAAATGTGTAACGACGTAATAAACACAGATATATTGGTCCATGTGTATATAGTCATTGGTGAACCATCCTTGGAAAATGT